ATATATAACCGAAAGGTTCCTTAAATAAAATGAAAATAAGAGAGTGAGACAGAGTGCAGGAGCCTTTTTTGATTCTTATACTAACAAACTTAAAAGCCTTTGTTAATCATTTTTCTGAAACACTGAAATGATCATATCCCTGCCACAGTCTCAAAAGTAGACATGAAAGGCATTCACAGATGTACCCTGAATTTACACCTAATTAACAAGATATTGTCATTAAGAGACAATATCTTGTTAATTAGGTGTAAATAACAAGATATTGTCATTAAGAGACAGTTTGTTAGCTTCAGGAAATCTAAAATTTATTTTCAGACATATTTGCACACTACCAAACCAACTGGCATTCCTTTACTCTGACCCCTAGCCTGGTAGCATTTTTAAGACCACTAAGAGTTGAAGTTGGATACTCTGTCGACTTACGTGATTTCATATTCTTAAAGTCACATTGTATTAAAGGCAAGTTCATTTGGGTGTCTGTTTTAAGACACTCACACTAGTTTAGTGGTGTCTAGTTTTTCCCCCACAATCTGTTCATTGATATCTTCCAAATAGAACAGATAGACAACACAGTAACTTTTGGTCAGTGCAATAGTGATAAAGCAAAAAAACTAAAAAAAAAAAAAATTTGTAAAATGATAATAACACAATAAAATTTTGTGCATACCTGCCCAGGGACTACAGATGGAAAGTAGCTGACAGCTAAATCTGGCACAAAGCATCTTTTCTCATCTGAGATTAATGGGTTTTTTGTGCACTGTCCAATAAATAATTAATTAATAAATTAATAAATAAATAAATTAATTAATTAAAATATAAAATTTTTGGTCAGTCTGCCTCCTCCTAATGTTGCTTAAGTACTTAATCAATCATTCAGGGATATCTGGGAAGTCCAGCTTTGGTATATGCTCGAAAAAGGGGTCCCGAATCCTGCAAAAAGTTTCTAATGGAGTCCTACATTATGCACCAGATTCTTTCCAGTTTTACAAAATTAAGAACTTCCCTTATCCATAGAGTATGGGTAGGAGGTATTGAAGATTTGAGCAATGTCAAGCATCCAACTAATAGGCTGACATACCATGCCAATTGTGGGGGAAGTTTCCCTCTTAATATTCAGTTTAGTACAATTTGGCATTGTCGGCAGAATCCCAACAGAGACACTGGATGTGTCAAGTAAGAATTATTTTCTTTTTCTTACCCTGTTTGCTGCTTAACAGGATCATAGCACAGGAAATTGGATATCAAAATGAAAACTTCCACATCAATTTAAGGGTGTAAAGGAGGAGGAAAAGAGAGTGGTAAAGTGGGGGGAAACTATCCGAACAATGCAATCCTGGCATTGGGCTCAATCAGTTGGTGGATGTTGGCTCTCCTCTATTAATTTACAATAGAACAAATGTGTAAGGGTGAAATTGATGAGTCGCCAGCCTGCAAATGATGCTTGACCTTGTGAAATTTCATGTTGGTGCACATTCACATGAACATGTACACCTATAAAGGCAAAGTTAAACATTTCCTGGATGATTGTTTTCAGCTGATGTAAACCAGTCTGCAGAACTGACAGTGTATTAACAGACCAGTGAGATAGTGCATACTGCTGAGTCAAAGACTGTTTTATCCACTATTAAAAACCCACTGGCCATTTCAGTAATAAAACATTTTATCTACAGAGACGTTTGGGAGACGCTGCCAAAAAGGCCATCAGTAAGCTGCAAGTACGCACCATTAAGAAAGGAGACAAGGTAAATGATGTTCCTCACTCTGCAAACAGGAACTTCTCAAGCATTTCTAAATTTACAGAAGCATGTTCATCAACATGCAGGACATGATTTGAATCATACTGTACTTATTTTATTTGGTGTATAGATATATTTGAGAATTAATTGGTCTTTTCGTCTGTTCTGTGTTTTAGGAGACGGAATCAGACTTTGACAACTGTGCAGTTTGCATTGAAGGTTATAAGCCTAATGATGTTGTGAGGATATTACCATGCAGGTGAGCTTTGTGTTTGGTCTTTGTTGTGTGTACGGTAATTTAAAACTAGGTGTCTCTCTTTGTTGAAAGCATAAACTCAGCACATGCACTATGGTGACTGCAGTCATTTGTTTTCAGATGTTTCATCTGTGCACTGATTTCTTGTTCCACCAGGCATATCTTTCATAAGCACTGTGTAGACCCGTGGCTACAAGACCACCGGACGTGTCCCATGTGCAAAATGAACATCCTCAAAGCCTTAGGAATCCCAGTAAGGTCCTTTTGATTAATTTTTGTAACTTTTGCCTCATTTATTTTGACTACAACACTCAAAGAATGCATGAAAGTGCCTCTAAAGACGTCTTTGACACGTTCCAGCTCAACGCAGACTGCTCAGATGACGTTCCTCCAGACTATGACACATCTGTCGGCGGTCCACCCACCAACCCCATCAGTGGGGCGAGTGATATCACAGTTAACGAGAGCACGGTGGTTCTGGATCCTGCCGGAAGAGCGACAGGCCTGCAGCAGCTCCATCCTGATGAAGAGACAGAACTTCAGGCAGGGGAGAGCCACATCATCGCCAGCAGTAAGCACAGACACACATTTAACTCAGCAGTAATGACCTGACAGCCAGTGAAAAGGGATTTTTGATGCATAACTAAGCTGGAAAGTTTGGACAGACAATTTTATTCCAGACAAAGTTATCAGCACATGCGCCACAGTGGGTCTATTTCTCTGTGTCCCCCCTCTTTAGCCCAGTGAAGCTGCACCTTTTGACTGTTTCCTGTTTTCTGCTGTGTCATGAGCTTGAAAATATTTTAGGATATAGAGGAGTAAAACTCTGCAAAAAGAAACAGATGAGATAAGCTTTTTTTGTCCCCTCATCCCCTGGAGGAAACTAGTCCTAGCAGTGTGCTGGTCCTGGTTTTATTCTGCTTTTTTTCTTGTCATTTGAGGCCTGAAATGTTTATTCTAAGGCCTAAATCAGGCCAGCAGCCACCTGGTCAGTGTTCCCCACTTCAGATCCTTCTGAGCAGCACAGGAGGCTATGAACAGTGTTCCCTTTCTACAAAGCCACAGCCTAGCCCATATAGACTCAAATATTTGTTATGTTAAAGAATGTTGTACATTTTAGTACCTTATGCAAACGCCCGAGGGCGGTTACTTTAACTAACGACTGTTAAACATCTGCTAGCTATCAGCGCTTTATAGTGTGAGCACATGCACATGCTCACGCACGTGTTCTCTCTGCCATTTAGCAACGGAAGCCAAAACCTTTTCCCAGAACAGAGATGAAGCCAGAGTTTTAAAAGGTTTTCAGAGATTTGAGTCACAACACCTATTCTATAGGTGGATGAAGGAGTAAACGGGGAGGGTTTTTGTTTTATTTATTAGTTTTAATAATGTAAAGAACAGGATAAAACATTCATCCTGAGAAAGAAAAGGTCTCACTTTTGTGCCAAATTAGTAAATCAATGAAACATGCAATTCAGCATGGATGAAACATGAGTTTAACACCACCCTGTTCTAAATTTTACAAATCACTCCTGGTCGATCCATCTTGATTTAAATACACCTCCCAGTGATTTTGTTGTTGTTCCTGCTGTCTTTCTGACCACTAAGACATCTGGTTACCAGCAGCAATGGGTTTATGCTTAAACCTTCATACAGTGTTAGAAGATGTGGAGAAGCAGAGTGGAACGGTAAAGAGAAGATGAAGTCCCCGAGTAACGAGTGCCAAAGTCCTGCTGCACAGCACGACAGACTGGCTCCAGCACATGCACACTCTCTGCTTCCAGGCACAAACAGAATCCACACACACACTCACTGTAGTTGGAGACTCAGTCCGTACAACCGACAGTGAGCCAAACACACATTTTTCCTTTTACTTCTTGTTTGTGTCTTTTTTCACGGCAGTTCTTCTTAATGTCACTTTAAAACACATGTTAGAGAAAACCCTGCCTGTATCTAAGACAATGTTCCTGCTGTCATGGCTGCATAGGTGTAGATTTTGGGGCAGGATGCAGGGGACACGTCCCAATCAATATTTAGAACATGTCCATTTGTCCCCACCATTAAACACTTGAAAGGAGCAGAGGACTTTTATTTTGACAGAATTACACAGTGAATTGATGCTGAAAAATTCACCAGGATGCAGAAAATTAAGTGTTTGATGCTCTAAATCTTCTGGCGGAGTACCCCAGAATCCTGCAGAGGTTGGTTATAGTAATTGTACTGTTAAATAGTGTTTTCCATAAGTGTTGTGAGCGTAATTTGTAAGCACACTGTGTTTTGAAAGATTATTAAATTAGCTATTTGTATTGAAAAAAGTAGATTTAGTCATTGATGGGGAAAGATGAAACTAATCATTTCAGTCATTTTTTTACAAACGTTTGCTGGCTCCACCTTATTACATGTATTGTTCTGTTGCTTTTCTCTGTGTTTTATGACAGTAAACTAAATATACTTTGAGTTTTAGGCTGTTATACAGTGGAGTAATGGCGTCCTGAGCAGAGAATGAGGCCACACTACCGCTCTGTGTGTGTGGTAATCCAAGCCTCTCTGTTCTTTGTTGTGGTAAGCCAGTCAGGCCACATGTGCATGTCCGAGCATTAGCCTGGTGTGTATCCCACTGGCTAGCACATTGCCGCCGCTTTGCATTGGACTGATACAGCAGTTAGCGCTGATATTGCGACAGTGTCATCGTGTAAGTGTGGCGCCCACCCTCCAGTTCCCTACTGACTGACACTATCAGCTCTGTTAGCACTGCTGCCATTGTTTAGTACTGTTTGTGGAGTTAGCATCGTTAGCTGCTAGCCACAGGCTCAGTCACCTCCCTGTTGAAAACGTTGTGCAGGCAACTCATACCTTTTGAATATTACAGAGAGCCATTCATTGGTCAAAACAAGCATTTCAAAGACAATACTTTGGGGCCTGGGAAGTTTTGATGCTCAATTTTAGCTGATTTCTGACATTTAATGAGTCACGATTAATCAACAAATTGAGAAAGTAATTGTTGGTTGCAGCCCTATCATATTAATAAGTTTTGGCTTTAACATCATGTGAATGTTGCGCTCTATACTGCTTCGTATTTTACACGTTAGCACTACAAAGAAAAAATATAAGTCTAACCTTTATTCAGCTAAATACTGAACATTAAAAAGTTCATCACTGTGATGTAGTACTTTCCAATTTGCCTTAAAAAGACAACTCTTCAAGGCACTCTGTGCTGCGAGTACGAAGAGTTATGTTTACTTCTGTGTGCTTGACAAGCAATAGATCAGCTCGCCACAAGCAGGTTCTCACCTCCAGACTAATTAGCATGTAAATTAGATGTGATTTGTCGAATGTCGCAGCTGTATTGAGCCAAAGCAGACGATGTCACCGACAGGCAGTTAGCATGAGATGAACAAGCCGATCTGTCAGGATTTCTGCTGCCGAATGTTGGCAGTGATTGAGGGCCAATTGTGTTGCGTCTTTAGCCTGAATAATGAGCGCTGTCGTTAATGGTATTGCAGCTATCATTCTTTCAGGAGTCAGTCATTTACTGGGTGTGTGCTGCAATTAGGGTCCCAGAAACAGACCTGATTTATTGCTGGATTGAGGGAAAAATCAGTTTAAGTGTCAGTGAGAGGCATTCACCCAAAGAATTCAACCTTCTTCAAAGTACTGTAGAATATTGTCCCTGTTCGGAGACACTGATATAACTGCACCACATGTAATGATTTACTTCCCTCTCCCCTCCTCAGGTGAGCACCAGCCGCCGCTCAGCAGTGATTCAGACACTTCGATCATCAGCGGCGTGGAGATTGGCATGTCTGATGTAGACCAGTCCACACAGCAGGATTGTGATCAGCCCAAATCCTGAGCCAATCGACGCTGAGAAAATAAAGCATGAATCCCCAGGTAAATGAGGACAAAAGTCGGACAAAGTAACCAGGGGCCCCCCAGAGAATCGCCACGTCTTTGGCCCCCTGGAGGACGTGACTTCTCAGAAGATGGGCAAATGAGCAATACAACATAGCAGCACAAATCACCCAATTCTGTCTTTACTGGCTGAAAAACAGATCCTTCCCTGCATCTGTGGACGTGTTGCTTGCTCGTTTTCTTGCAGTCACACCTCACCATTTTGTTGGTTTGACTGCCATGGCAACCAGACAGCCAATCACAGCTGTCACATTGTGGTGGCCCAGTTTTTGTCACACGTAATCCTTTCACATCCTTAAACCTAGCACCTGAAATACACATACAGTAACTGCTGAGATGTTGGAGTCGGTTTCTCTTCACTCTGGCACCCTAAACCTGCTGCTGGACACAATATGAGCACGGGAGCAGCAGGGCGTCCTTAACGCCAGATTGCAGCTTTAATTATTGTTAAAATATGTGCAGATTGTGTGATCACTGCCAACATGTTCCGGAAGTAAGTGTAACCGATGTGATGGATATATTGCACGTATAGAGTCCCTGACAGCTGGTGTGAATTCCCACCAGCAATTTTTCAACTTCAGAGTTGTTAATATCCCTTGAAAACTTGAAGCATAGGTCTTTAACTTCATGTGGTCATGTGACATTTAAGGAGTCGGGATATGTATGCACACGTTATGCTGTAATTTCTGAATTTCTATATGTAACGCTTTCTGTTACTATTTTTGTGAGACCTTCATTTGTAACTTCTATATTACCAACTGAACCTTCCTGTTGTTGAGAGAGGAAATAACCAAACACAAGGTACACGTTTCTGTCCTCACATTTGACAATCATAGCTTTCCTAAAGCAGTCTGAAGTGATGTCACCCACTGCCCTGCTGAGACTGCTGCTGATTTACAAGTTATCACAACACATGGCGCCGGTGATCATTCCCTACTGTCTGTCAGGAGGGAAGTGTTCATATCTGTGTTCACGCCGCTGCTAAATACAGCTGGCAATAACAGTTGTCACTACCAGACTCTGGCAGCGTGCGCATAATGTAGACAAACTTCATGCACTTGTCAAGCCAGCCAAGATAAATATGTTAACAAGTCTTTGTGCCAAGATTGTCAGTAGTATTTTAGACATTGTCGTTGGTTCTCATGCACACTGATTTCCCCTGGCTGTTAAAGAGACAGGCACGGCACTGAATCTGTTCATGATGTGAAACTGAAGAAATAATATAGGGACGTAGGATTGGATGGTTTATGTCAGTTAATAGAGGGACTGTTTTGGTGGTAAAGAAGGGAAATATGCATTGTCTGGCATGGTTAGGGGTTTTCATTTTAGGAATTTAATATTCCCGCCATGGGATTATTTAAGGCATGAAAATGTGAACAGTTGTAGAATAATTAAGAAGTGTTGTTGGGACTACGTCCACACTAAGCGGGCTAATTCTGCAAAACCACATGAATGCGACAAAGTTTTCTGGTTGGCTGGGTAATTGTGACACAGTGACTGAATCAGACAATAACACTGTAGATGAGTAATCCAGAACAACAAAGTGTTGAAAATAAAATAATAATATGGTTCAATTTAATAAATTAAAGTGGACATTATGTTTCTTAGTTAGCAAGAAATTATAACAGGCACCAAGATTTATCCACCCTTGTTTTAGTCCTACGGCCTTTATTAAGAGCTGGTGTCATATCAGAATGTGCTCCCCCGGTGAGTAGTGTTTTCCTCGTGTTATTGTGTAGTGCTCCCCTCAGTGGTTATGGTGAGGGCTGAAGATTTGGTTCAGGTTTCGGTGCGGGTAAACATTCATCGACACAACGCCTGACTTTAATTGTTCGTGGCGACCATGCCCCTGACCATTATTTGGCTACTGGTTTTTATTTAAGAAAATATGGTAGTTTCAGTTGGTTGAACCTCTGTTATGTCCCCTACCACTCTCTTTGATCACCTCTAGTGTTAAATTCATAAACATAAATCTAAGTTAACAACAACAGCTGTGGTATTGGCTATAGTGACATTTAAAATGAGTCACTGGTAGTGACAAACCGTAGTGGCGCCAGCAAGGGAGGCCAAAGTGGGGCCATGGCCCCCTTTATACAAATACTGGCCTCCCCTGGCGAAAATAATCAAATATTATTATTATATTTGAGAGGCTGTGGTGTGTTCATTTTTTAAGATGAAACTAGACAACTGAGGGCATCCACTGATACCTGCCGTGTCGGCATATCTTGTCGGAAGGGGGCTAAATAAAGCTCCAAATTTAGGCTAAAATATTTGCGAGGGAAAAACTGCCGTAGCCATTTTTTAAAGGGGTCCTTTAAACTCTCACCTTAAGATATCTGAAAATGGGTTTTATGTTTACCCACCAGTCTCCTCTACACTCGAGAAAGCTTGTTCCCAGTAAATGTTTTGTTCCTTACATTCAATATGCTCCTTAAAATTAAAGCTGTATATTTGTCTTTTTAAGTAAAGCAGTCTATCTGAAGACAAATGAATCGCCTAATGTACGGATACATAACACATTAAAACAGGATTATTGTGGAACTCAAAATGTTAACTGTCAGTATGAGTGTATGCACATTAGATGATAAGTAATATAAACTGTAAGATAAAAAATAAAAGTAGATCAGTATGTGATTCCCTAACTCTCCATATTGAAATTGTTTTCAGATAGTCTACGTATATACTACAAACACATCATAGAATTCATGAAATTCAGCTTTGCCTTTTACTTCTGATGTGACACCCCAAGATTTTCAGTGGCGCCATCTGGCCAAACCCTTTGAAAAATTTCTGTGAGTGCCACTGACGAACCTACAGAGAGTTATCACCCAAATCTGCAGAAAACACCAGCTGTGTGTGGACGGGGTCCATACAAAGGAAAAAAATGTTTGTTTTTAAAATGTAGCTGGCTTAGTGTGGACGCACTCCTCAACTCCTGTAGCGACGCTGACTGTTACTTCACATTCAAGAACTCATTCTTTTCCTGCTGTTTTGTTTTCGTCTCGTAAATCACCTCCTCATGTCATATTGCACAAGGTCAGTAGGATCTAATACTCGACAGGATCTGTTTCCTGTCACATTCCTGTAGACTTGCACACTGAAGAAGCACAGACGATGGAGCCAGTGGAAATTAACTGGAGGTTTTTTACTTCCAGTCATTGTTTCCATTGTGTCCTGCAGCCACCTGGGACTCTGTTATATAACACACACATGTCCACACTCCCCAGTTTGGGTCAATCATTGAAGAATTGTTGAATGTATGCGTAAATGTTCCAGCGTATCATGAAAGTGTTAGTTTAAGGAGGGGCTTGCTGTAATTCTTATTTCTTTCAAGCATTTTGTGAGACTCTGTGTTGTTGGCTGTAGCAGCTCGATACCCATAGACACTACTATCTAGATGTGTGTTGCATCACAGAGAGTCGGTAGCATTATATAAACATTTATGAATGTACATTTTTATACACTATATATTGGACAATGGTAATAGTGGGTTTGATAAAAAGCCTGGTTTACCTCTAGCTTTAGATATTTTTTTGTTGTGGATATGAAGGTGGATGATTGTGATTCTTGCCAGCACATTATAGATGCAGATGTTTACAGCCAGTCTAATCTGGACCTTTAAGCCTCTGTAAGTCGCATCAGTTCCCACGGATAATGAGACAGCACAATACATACGATAGCCCAGAAACACTCAGCAACATCAATATCTGTTGATCTCTTTGTCTTTGTCTTTCTCACATGTTAACATAAACACTTTGTCTCTGTCCGACCATTTGTTTGGTCGGCATAGCGACAAGATAAAGCACAGCACATCTGTTTTCAGTGCCAGATCACTTGATTCTGGCTCTACTGCCTACAACAAGTTTAGTAAAAGCTGGATTCAAACTTATTTTTTACAGAGAAACTTAAAGATGATGTGACCAAGCTAAAAGGTCGTCTCTCAGCTGTATCGGTTTACAGTCTTTCAAAAGCAACTCCTTTGCAGGAATCAAAGGAATCAAAGGAAATTTAATACACAAAAGACCTTGGTGCACTCCACATAATGACATTCAATGTACTTATGAAGTAACTCAAGATTGTTGTCCCTAATTGCACCTGCAGCATTGTGTAACACTTTATTTTGGGCTGTGTGTTCCTAATAATTTCCAACAAGTCTCCAGGAAATGACTAGCCTATGTGTGTGTTTGATGCCAATATGGGCAAATGTCCTTAAAGCAGAAGTTTCCAAAGATTTTTTTTATTTGCACACACATAAAATGGCTTAAAATCCATATGGTGAAAAAACAAAAAACTAAGAAATGTGTCAGGAAAGGTCAAAACGCCACAGGGTTAAACAAACGGACCTCCCCTCAACTTAAGGAGAAAAACAAATAATGACAGAAAAAAGAAGAAAAGGATAAAAAAAACTCATATATTAAACTCATATAATTCAGAAGATACAACAAAAGATATATGACAACAAGAAGCACACTGAGCAGAACCAACTAACCAATCTGTACAATAATCCAGTAAAACAAAGAAATACACAAAATCAGTTCATCTGACAGGGACTGTGGTTGTTGATCAAGAGGAAAAAACTGTAAATGAGCCAGAGTTGGCCTAAAAGTCAGATGTGAAAAGGCACCTAAAATAGAATAAACAGCCTATCTTATAAAATTCATACACACAAAATACTAGGTATGCACAAAACAGTACAGCACACATCCACCAATTAATATTACCATAGTATAACACAAGATAATTAGCTACAATCTTTATTAACAGGCCCAGAAAAAGACAAGAAACCTGCACAGGTAGTTGAAATGTACGTATACTTGCCTGCAGACAAATTCTAACTTGTTTTCATGCTGTGTACTGACTTAAAATCTCTCTAAGCTTCACCTGCAATTAGTTTGAATTGATTAAGTCTCTGATTACCCTTTGATTAGGATTATTATGTGGCTCTTTCAAGGAAATTATTCCAAAATTATTCTCAAATTATGAACCTGTAAAATAAAGCATGACCCAGCAGAGTTTTAACTTTGATGTCCTCCATTTTGTTCCCTTGTCACATGTTTCCTTCTGTTTGTGTAAACGTTCCTATATTGCACTTTAACCCTCCAGCGAATGAGGACCGTCGATACTGAACGACTTGAGATAGTCTTTTTTAAATAGAGGGCTACAGTATTGAACATAGCACATGACTCGGTTGATGATTATTGTATGATGTTGTGATCTTTCATGTGTATATTGTGTGTATGTGGGGTGTGTGGGGGGAATATCAATATATTGTACACTATACCCAGCAGAAATAACAGCATTGCTAATTTGTAATATAAAAGACATGTAAGTCTGATTAGCGGTGTCTCTGTTCTTTTTCTTGTACCATGATGCACGTGTAGGAATGTCTCTGATTGTGAGTTAGATAATAAAACTGATTCAGGTTTTTTTCAGCTTTGATAAACTTATTTGTTCTACTTTACTTAATGAAAAGTGTGTTTTACCAGATAAACAACGCTGATAATGAACACTATCAGAGCTTGTGATGACTGAAAGTAAAGTCAAGGGAACCAGAATAAAACAATCTATTATAGTCTAAAAAAAAACCCTGCTCAGCTGTATAAATCTTTAAAACACGCTGCATACTGAGCCACCAAATACTGCCCTGATTTTCTATTTTTATGGAGTCATCTGTCACAAAATGTCATCACAGTGAGGTCTGTTTTCTGATGTTTGGGTGCTCCAGTCTGTTTGAGATTTGAGACATCAGGACTGGGTTTATTTTAAGGTTTCCATGGTCACTGAGGGTTTATTTTAACGGAAAGAATGTGAGGTGTTTCCTGACAAACTACAATAAATACAGGTTTATGATGAAGTAAATAACATCAGTCAGTTTATGGTAAACTGTTACAAGATGCTGCCTCATAATTATGTGGTTATAAGTCTTAATAAGATTAAAAACAATTCATATGTGGGAAAAGAATAGGTGGTGGCTTGTTTTTAAATGTCAGAGATGTGCTTCCACAGAGATCCACTGCAGATGCTCAAGTGTTGGTAAGTAATGAAAGACACACTTGCTGCAGTGTGTAGGATATGTGGCCATAGTTTTCTTTAATTATGAGAAAGTGATTGTGTAGAGAGGGTCTGTTAATGACGTTTTATATTTGGGTAATGGAATTTCTATAAAACAGAGCACTCTAGTTAACCCTTTCATGCCCAAAGACCATATGACATGAAAAAATGCCACATTTGTTCTGATTTGTCTAAAGTCTTGAAATCTGGTTCAGACAGTGGGTAAATGTGGGCAAATATATAACAGGACAACTCTAACATTTTTAGATCACAGGAAAAATCATAGTTTTATTGGTAGTCAAAGTCAGGAAACCACTAGCATACTGTTAATTAAATGTTTGTTTTTTACCTTGCATGTGTGTGTATATTTGATATTCAACTTGCTGTGAGTTTAGATACGAAATACTTGAATGTGCTCCTTGTAGCTTCTGAGATGCAGCCATTGTCCAATCATATATTTAGTCTTTGGGCAAATTGGACTACAAACTATAGAGTAACAAGAAAAACTAACTAACCAACTTCAGCCAAATGGTTTGGACAATTTTGAAAATCTCTTCAAACTTGGGATAAGATAAAACCAGAGAACACTTGGAAATATCAGGGGTACAAATTGTAGCAGGATCAGATCATAAGTTTTTATAATGTTAGTGTCACTGAGCTACCACAAGGTGGCGCCACCCACCCTTTATCTGGGGTTAACCCATGTGTTCCCACAGTTTGCAAAGACACCACACATGTATGCTACATTCCTAGAGAAGAAAAAAAAAATGAAATCTACCTGTATGATTACTCTGGAGGCTGTAGTTTGTGATGATGTTGAACTGCATTAAATCACACAGAAAGAGAGGTTTATGTTATTTATTTTACCCTTGCTGATATAAATGGGATGGAAAAATTGTTAGAAACATCTGTCAGCAAAACACACACTACAACCCCTGAGAAAGACACATATACAGCTGAATCAATACCTCTCTAAACTGTTTACAAAACAAAAAACTGGACATTATAACCTTTATTAAGTTCAGATGTTTTTGCAAAACTGTTGTAATAGACTGCATTACTACCTCAGCCAGGTGAACTTAATAACCTTCCAATTGAATGTAGCCTATATGGGCAGCCTATTCAGCCACAGGATCATCCCACAGATGCAAAACAGAGCTATTCTGTGATAATATTGTAGTACTATACAACTAAAACAGTGCTATATTTCACCTTATGTGTGCTTTATCTCATACTGTATTTTACTGTACTATATATACTACATTGTGTTCTTTATTTCTTTATTGTCATATGCACAATAAATCCAGTGAAGCATTTGCAATGAAATTCTCTATTCTCGGGCTCTCTCTAAAACATGGTCATACAGTAGGCTGTGTAGGCTATAATAGAATACAACTTAAGTGATAGACAGTACTATTATATGTTGTACTGTTTCACTACATTATGTAATATATTTTTATATTAATACAGTCAAACAATAAGTATCATTACCTAATCATATTATATATTAATCTGGTGTATGCTGTTTACATGCATTATCCTCCTGAGACCCTGGGTCCTCATACAAGGACATCACATTTTGAGTTTACTGGACCTTATACTTCATTCTGCTTAACTTAGACCTGCTGTCCTCATTCGTGGACACTTTTTTGTGCCATCTAGTGGTAGTGGAACACCAATACATGTAAAAACAAGATGGCAGCCATCTCTGCCAAGTCAGTCTGGAGCCAACCCTGACACAAACACGGACAAGGTCCAAAACCTGATCACATTTGATGGTTGAAACTTGTTTATCTATGATTATTAACACTTGTAGTTTGACATGCCAACAGATTGCACCAATTTTAGCAACAGTAACAAGTTAAGACACTGTTAATTAGAAAGTATTCATTTAATGACATAAGGAATTTACCATCAGCTCCTTGAAGGACATTAGGACTTTCTTATCATCACGTCTGATGATATAGGGACTTTATTAGTGTTGACAGAGTTTAGTTTTTTATACTTATCAGGTCCTATAAATCCCAAATACAGCTGGGAGAAATTAAAAATGCAAACCAAACAAAAGTGCGGGTCACAGAAGGTTATACATTGCTGACTTTGCAGCTTCTAATCACAGTACTATGTCACACTCGCAGTGTAATTTTGACTGTAATTGCTCTTGTATAGTTTCTCTTTTTATTTCTTATCTTATTTTTAATTTATGTGCCTCTCATTATGTATTTTAATGTCTCTGTTTACCTGTACAAGGGCTTAGTTTTCATTTCAGCACTGGGGGACACAATTGAAACAGGGGGGTTGCATTAAAACAATTAACTTCCTGCATTTTGGTGATTTTTATGCACCGTTTTGTGCATCATTTTATGGTGTAAATACCTTTAATTTTATCATGATAAAAGTCCTCCGCTGCTTTAGTGTTTTTATTTTGGGGGTGGGGCTAAATGCACATGTTGCAAATGTTGGGGGGTCCACTCTGAAATCTATACCTGCGACTGTACAGTACTTATTTCTGTCTTATTAGCAAATATATTGAGTATGATTGTGATTGATGCAATGCGTTTTCGTCCTGTAGGCGGCAGTAATGTCCCCAGAAGCATCTAAAGCACCATAAACCACAGAAGAAGAAGAAAAGGGTCTAATAGGAGGAGGAGGTGAGAAATCAATGCAAGATGCAGTCTGCAAACATCTGCGGCAGGATGGGTCGCAGTGAGGAGCTCAGTGACTTCCAGCGGGGCACCGTGGTGGGCTGTCACCTGTGTAAAAAGTCTGTCCGTGAGATTTCCGCCCTGCTGAACCTTCCTCGGTCCACGGTGAGCGCTGTCATCCTCAAGTGGAAACGTGGAGGAATAACCACGGCTCTGCCCCGGAGCGGCCGCCCGCACAAGCTCAAAGAGGAGGACCGTCAAGTGCTGGAGAAAGTAGCGCTGGAGAACTGTCTGCCCTCCGTGGAGGCTCTCACCGCCGAGTTTCAGACCGCCTCCGGGGCCACTGTGAGCCCCAGGACTGTCCGCCGGGAGCTGCATGAGATGGGCTTCCGTGGCCGAGTGTCCACGTACAACAAGCCCAAAGGTGAGTTCAGGGAGGGGGGCGTTCAATGACCACATGCAAGAGTAATGTTGGTGTACACATACTTTTGGCAACATTACACCTATATATATATGACTGCATGAGCATCATTGACAGCCCTCCTCTCCCTCTGGCTTATAAAAGGATTGTGGGACCAGGCTGCAGACATTTGCTCCCATTCAGACACAACAGCATTACTGTGGTTGCACCTTCAGTGACTCAACCCCCTTAAACGTCTCAAAATCGAAATATGCATGTTGAGGACCCATTTCTTAGTAGATTTTGTACAGCGTTATTATAATTTATTATTAACTGATGTTTTATTACCTGTGTTAAGCGCTTTGAATTGTCTGTGTTTTGAAATGTGCAATTTCAATAAAGCTGCATTGCCTATTGACCCCCACTACCTGGCCCCAAAATTTCTCCATTTTATTTTGTGAAAATTAGATTAATCACAGCTTTATATAAAGATAATTAAAATTATAATAAACTTTATTTATATGTACCTTTCATACAAGAAATGCAGCACAGAGTGCTTTACAGTAAGGACAGTATAAGAACTGAGTGCTTCATGTAAAAATAGACATAATGGATATAAAACAAATAAACAGGGCAATTCAATATAAAAGGACATTTAAAACAGTTTTAAACATGGAGTAACTGATTCATAAAGTCATACAGTTAAGATTTATATATAAAAAAAGAAAAAAAAATTAGAGTGAAGCATAAAAAGAAACAGTTTCAGACCTGTATCAGGAAAGTCAGAGCTAGCTAAAGGCTAAAGTGAACAGATACATTTTTAGCTTTCTTTAAGTGAGCTAGCTCCCTGATATCTATAGCTAGTGTGTTTCATAGCTTTGGGGCGTAATTGATAAAGGCTTCTTCTAGCTGTTGGTGGGAACCTCCAGATTAGTTGATTAATCAAATAGTCAATCAAGAGAAATTATGCAGCAGTTTTGATATACGTTTTAAAGTACAAATGTCAAACATTTGCCAGTTCCAGCTTCTGAAATGTGAGGATTTGCTTCATCTCATTGTCTCCATGATATAAACCAAACATGTCATTTGGGTTTTGCACTGTTGATCGACAACACAAGCAGTCTGAATATGTTACTCTGGGCTCTTAGCAATTAGGATTGCACTTTTTTAGTCAATTGCAGCTGTATGTTAGATTTTGAGAAGATTAGATTTTGATGCAGGACCACAGCATTAGCAATTAATGCAGCGTCTTTGTTGTATTTAAGCGGTGCCAGTTCTTCAAGAGATTTGGACTAAATGAAATAGCCAAAACCCACTGATATGCAGGTAACTTGTGGGGCAGTAGTACACTGGTTTGTAATCCAGCCAGCAACTTTATCATGATAGATATTATAAAAACTTGAACCCATTTTTTAAATGTAAGGATTTATAAAAAGTCTGACAGGTATTTGAGGAGGAAAGGTGCATGTGTAAGCAAGATTTTCAGTCCCGTTTTTTCAATACAGCAGACAAGCAAATGTACACTCTATGATACCCGTGATCAGTGATCATATCCCGCTATATGGTTTCACGGTCTACTGCTGCAACCCTAAATCCAGCCTTGTTGCTTAACGTTTGTAAAAATTCATCGCTGTTGTGTCAAAGTCTGCTCCCAACCTGAACCCAGTCTGAGAGCCAAAACCTCAGATCCATCATCTCTGAGACACCTAGGTCCTAAACCCAGCCACAGATGGCAACACATAGGAAACACTATTTGATAATAATGAATAATGAATGCCTTTATTGTCATTACATGTTCACTTACAACAAAATTTGCTGCCTTTCATAAAAGAAAAACTGTTTCAACACACACTCACATACCTACACATTAAAATAGGATAAGGCTAAAACAGGATAAATATGGTGCTAGAGATAAAGATAAACAAGATAAAGTGCATATGCAGTTAAAGTACATCTGTCCGTGGCAGTGCAATTTAAAATTGTTGTGGTGGTCGGGGAGGGAGGGGGACTTGGGGGTGAGAGTTCAGTGTGTGTATGGCTGTGGGGCAAAAACTGCTCCGCAGTCTGTAGGTGCAGCATTTCAGGGCCCTGTAGTGTCTATTAGAGGGCAGCAGTGACAGATTTGGACACAAGACCTGTGCTGGCTGGCTTCTGTTAACCTTTTATTCTCCACACAACCATCTCAGGATGAAGTACTGAACCCCATTAGTCAGGGAAATGTCAGCATTTACAACCATGAGCTCACACCAGCAGCAGATTATCTGGAGCTGAATCTTTCCTGGAGAAAGAGGGAGACTAGGGAGAAGGCAAACCTCTTTCAGCCCTCATTTTCCATTGTATGTACTTCAACAAACTCACTCCAAAACCACAGCCGCTCTCATGTTGCCTCTGCTCTCCTCAAAGGCTTTCCACTGGATTTTCTTTCATTCAGCCACAAGAGCATTAGTGAGGTCAGGCACTCGTTGGGAACGATAAGGTCTGGCTCCCAGTCTGCATTCCAGTTCATCCTAAATGTGTTAGCCAGGGTTGAGGTCGGGGCTCTGTGAAGTTCAGTTAAGTTTGTCCACAACAAACTGAGTGAGGCTTTGAGGAATCGGCTTTGTGCCGGGGGCCAGGGGCAACGGCATGTTGAAACAGGAAAGGGTCTTTCTCAAGCCGTTGACAGAAATTTGGAACCAAGTTATATGTAAAACATTCATTATATGCTGCAGATTTCAGGCAGCTGTCCAGAATTGTTTCCACTATGATATTTTCATGTATGTTACCAGTTCGCAGAAATATTTTCAGTGGTTTTGAAAAAACCTTTTCATGATGTCATGCACATTTAGTTTAATAGGACAGGTCCATAAAATCTCTCCTCAACCTGATGAAAATCTACTCTCTGACCTGTGCTGAAGATGCTCAGTACATTGCCACATTATTTCATCTGATTTCCACTCACAGAGCAAATAAAGTGCAAATAAAAATGGCAGTGAAAGAATATTTCAAGGCTAAAGCCACCCCGAGTTTGGGTGCATGATTATTATAACAGTGCTTGTGTTTCTTTGATGCCAGCAGGGGAGAAAGCAGAGAAGAAGCAGGCAGCCACGAGCCAAGAGGAGGCCAAGGTGGACGTGTCTTGTCTGGACCTGCGTGTTGGATGTATAATCACAGCTCTGCAGCTTCCAGAGGCCGACAGTCTGTATGTGGGGCAGGTCGATGTTGGGGAGGCTTCTCCCAGGACAGTGGTCAGCGAGCTCGCGAAGCACATACCTCTAGACCAGGTACAGTCATGCTCAAATATGATCGGTTTTGTAGAGGGAATATGGAATTTCTTTAGTATCATGATTTTTTTTTGTAGATATAATCAGTAGGATTTCAACCCTAAGATTAATTTATCTTAACATTAAATCTATTAATTTTTTTGATAATGAGGAAAAAATAGGGAGTGCTGCACTGGGTTAAGGCTCTGTGTAGTAACTTGTAAAAAAAAAAAAATCAGGTGCTCTTCAAGGATGAGACACTTAGTGGAAAAGTCCATTAAAAACCCCTTATTAATACATGGGTAAATCCATTTATATTCATGTATTAATAAAGGATTTTTAACTACAGTCAGAGTGCCTTGATGCATTTTTGGACTGCCTGCCTGTACAATGAGCTTTTACACTAAGTGAGCTGGCCAGTCGTTGTGTTTTATCTTTAACTACTAATTATTTTCTTAATTAATTGTTTTATCTGTAATTTTTATCAAAAAGTGAAAAAAAAAAAAACAAGAAAATATGCTGACAACAGTTTCCCATGAACCAAAATGAGGCAGTCGGATTTCTCATTTTGTCAACAGTCCAACTAACAGTCCAACATCCAAAGATTTTTAATTTACAAATCTATACGATAAAATAAAGCAGGAAAGGGGACAATAAATGGATTACAAAAAAAACTGCACATCAATTTTCAGTAAAATGTCAACAGACTAGGGCTGCAAATAATGATTGTTATTTTTATTATTGACCAATCTACAGATTATTGTCATGATTAATCATTTAGTATATAAAAAAAAAAAAAAAAATTCAAAAATGCTCATCACAGTTTTTGCAGAGCCCAAAGTGAGGACTTCACTTCATCAGCTGTCCGTAATCCAAAAACTCTTTGTTTATGGTCATAAATGAAAAAGGAAAACAGCAGATTCTCACATTTAAGAAGCTGAAATTAGCAAATGTTTGATCATTTTTGTTTGGAAGATGACTAAAACATTTACTATTATCAATTAATCTGTTATCAAAATACATTAATTCATTTTCCATAACCGCTTATCCTGTTGGGGGTCGTGGGGGGGGCTGGAGCCTATCCCAGCTGACATTGGGCGAGAGGCAGGGTACACCCTGGACAGGTCGCCAGACTATCGCAGGGCTGACACATAGAGACAGACAACCATTCACACTCACATTCACACCTACGGACAATTTAGAGTCACCAATTAACCTGCATGTCTTTGGACTGTGGGAGGAAGCTGGAGTACCTGGAGAAAACCCACGCTGACACCTGGTCCGAACCCTCCACCCAGGGTTTGAACCAGGAACCATCTTGCTGTGAGGCGACAATGTTTACATCTGCACCACCGTGCCACCCAATTAATTACCTTAAGATGCACTTATTGACTAATTGTTGCATCTCTACAGCAGACTAATCATTCAGCTCTTACAATAAACAGAAACGAGGTCACAGAAGTTTTTAAATTATTGAATTGGCTTACTTGCAACAAACTCCCAGAAATAACGTAGAGATTAATAAACACACACACAAGAGCATTAGTGAGGTCTGGCACTGATCTGGTTCACAGTCAGCATTCCAGTCCATCCCAGAGGGGTCAGATGGGACTGAGGTCAGGACTCTGTGCAGGCTCCTCTACAGGAAACTGTCATGTTGAAACAGGAAATGTCCATCTCTAAATTGTTGCCTCAAAGTTGCACTTTTGTCTAAAACATCACAGTATGGTGTAGCAGTCATATTCCCCCAAGACACAGAAAACAGCCCCAAACCGAAAGAATGTGGACGCATACTTCTGGTCATATAGTGTGTCATTTAAATCGAAACACGTGTCTGCTGAGGTCATGGATCTAAAACGCTGCCTGACTTTGCCAAAAGCTGTAAAGCCTAATTCAAATATCCTCAGGGGGCAACCTTTCCATGCACACAGACAAGATGTTAGATCAGCATTGGCATATTGTACCACAGCTTTATTAAGTCCTTTGTGACTGCAGCTTGAATAACAAACTTCTCCTGCTACTGCTGCTTTCTGACTGGTTCATTGTCCACATACTTTTGGCCTGGGGCAGTTTTATGTGGTTTTGTTTCACAGCATAAAATGGCATTTTTCACTGTAAACTGTAATGTTGAGGTTTCCTGCCAGGATTTTAGACAATAGTGTGTGTGAAACTGTGCAGCAACTGTCAGGGGAAGGTCCTTTCCTGTTTCAACATGATAGCGCACCCCTGCACAAAGACAGTCTGTGAAAACACATGACTGGCTCATGCAGTCTGTTATGTTTAAAGGATAACTTCGGTATTTTTCAACCTGGGCCCTATTTCCCCATGTGTATGTGTGCTTCGTTTTAAAATTGGTTCAGTATTGAGGGAAGTGGATGCAGCCAGCAGCCGCGAATATATATGATATATGGGGGCAAATGCGTCCCATATAAGTTTGCGCATTAAAAGTGATTTTTTTCACCACTGACCGGTTCAGATCGCCAGTGTTATCTCTGTAAATAGCATACTAAGCGTTTCCCTTACCTTTCACTTCCTCTGGGCTGTGTGTGACGTCATCTCGCGAGAGCTTTGCTTGTTGCCAGAAGAAAACAGAGGAGCCATGCTGAGCGCCACTCAGAGTGGCGCTGGTTGTCCCGGAGTACAGTTGAGAGTTTTACTGCATCGATTGAAAACAATGGTTAGTGTTAATGCTTATCCGAATTGCAAGAACAGGATGTCACACAACACCCCGTACAGCTATCAAAGGCTGCCTTTGTCAAAAAGAAAGATGCTGAAGTTGTGGATAGTTGTGCTAAAAATGGATGCTAACACTCCTGTCCAGACACTGAACCTTGCAGACCAACAGGTCTGCAATGCTCACTTCTCCCAAGATGACTACTGCAAGCCGAAGAAGAGAAGACATCCAATCCCGAAACACCTCTTCCTCAAGAAAACGGCTGTCCCACGAGTAGAGAGAGCTACAGACACAGTGGAGGTAATGTTATATAAACAATGTTCCAAACACTTAGTATGCTATCTACAGAGATAACACTGGCGATCTGAACTGGTCAGTGGCGAAAAAAAGCACTTTTAATGTGCAAACTTATACGGGACGCATTTGCCCCCATATCTACCTCGCGGCTGCTGGCTGCATCCGCCTCCCTCAATACTGAACCAATTTTAAAACGAGTTGTACCCATGAATCATACACACACATGGGGAAATAGGGCCCAGGTTGAAAAATACCGAAGTTATCCTTTAATAATTTTTCATGTCATTTAAATGCTATCCCTGGCAAGAAATTAAAAATGAAAGTTATTCAAATGATTTATTGTAACAACATAAATGATTCTGGATTCATGTTGTGGTGGCACTCCCTCTGAATATCAAAAATGCCACTAATGAGCTGTAGGCGCAGTAACAGACGCGAATAACAGGAGGTGGAGTACAGTTTAAAACGCTTACTGAAAAATAAATGAAAGGGGAGTGCCATTATTACAATTCAACATACATGCATTTTAGTCTTCTTGCATTTTTATACACTATCTCTGTTTTATACAATGCCTGGAAATGAATTTAGCATGAATTAACTTATATTATATTCACACATTGGGACTCTTACACATATAGTTAATACTAAAAGGATGTACCTGAAGGAACGGTATTTTTATTGATATTACAGGGGTCGACGGTAACAGTTGCCAGGCTGCCATTGGCAACCGTTTTGAGCAACCATTTTCTTAGCCTTTGGTTGCCATCAGTGGGCAACCACTTTTTAGCATGTAAAAGACAGCAACGAGCAAAACATGCACCCCAAACATTTGTCGCATTAGTGATATTTAAATATTGCTGTTAATGCCAGAACTGGAACCAGACAATACTGCAAATACATTGGTCCATTTTCTCATGTGCGTACAGATATAGACACAGCGGTGAGGCAAATTAAGTTGTTTGACTGTGGGGGGAAAAGTTTGACTAACCTGGCAACATCACAAATGAATGCAAATAGATGAAATCAAATCAAGTTTATATTATTATATATTATTATATAATTTATACAGCACATTTAAAAAGAACCGCAGTTGACCAAAGTGCTGTACAAATTAAAAGAATGACACACTAATATATAGCAATGCAACATGTACACAAATATAAAACAGAATAACACTGGTAAGAACAATTACATACATTAAAAAAAAGATTATTAAAAAATACTAAAATATTAAAACCACCAAAGGCCATTGAAAACATGTATGTTTTAAGATTTGTCTTAAATGTGTGAATGGAGGGTGAGCATTTGATTGCGAGTAGAGCTTTGGAGCAGCTACCGCAAAGGCAGGATCTCCCTTACCCTCCAGCCTCGAATGTGAGACAGTTAAAAGACGTTGTTCTGAGGATCTGAGAGGTCAGGAGTTGGAGTAGGGGCAGAGAAGTTCTGCAGTGAACCTTAAAATCAATCCTGTATTCGATCGGTAGCCAGTGCGGGGATGCTGTCTCTGTTTCTGGCACCAGTGAGGAGTCTTGTTGCAGCATTCTGCACCAGCTGCAGGTGAGAAGAAGATGGCAGGCCAGTACTCAGACACAGAGAGCTGCAATAGTCGAGCCTTGAGGAGATTCAGCTGACAGAGAATTTTGATGTTTTTTTTTAATGATTGAAATAAAGCTGTTAAACCTTCTTTTATGTCACATTTTAATAATTAAGATGACGTGTAACTGCATAGTATCCAATATTACTCAGTATATAAGGTGACTGAAAATAGCAACCGTATTTTCATTTTTTTCAGTTCTCTTCCTCTCAGGTTTAGGCAGAAGCTCCCTCTGGTCTCTCTCTGTTTTCTGTTGTCTAGGGTGTATGCGCTGTATAAATGTATTCATTCCTCTGTCCCTCATACAGATGCAGAACCGCATGGCAGTCCTGCTGTGTAACCTGAAGCCAGCCAAGACAAGAGGAGTTGTGTCGCAGGCTATGATCGTGTGCGCCAGCTCAGCAGACAGGGTTGAAATCCTTGAACCTCCAAATGGAGCAGCACCAGGGGACAGAGTTACTGTCCAGGGCTTCACAGGTACGAACACCCAACTACTTTCGCCTCACACACAGAGTCACTGACAAGGACCAATAAGATAAAGATTTATAATGGGTTATTGCGTATGATGGATCATGGGTTCAGAGGAAAGCATGAAGGGGTGAGGATCGGGGGATTAGAGAATGAAAGGATGAGGATGGAGGGATGTTAAGATGTACAATGAAGGGTCGAGGGAGGTGAAGAGTGATGAAGGGATGAAGATGGAGGAATGAAGAGGTGAAGGGTCAGGGATGAATGGATGAGAGTCGAAGGGTTAAGGGATGAAGGGATGCTGGTCAAAGGGTTGAGGGATGAAGAGATTTGGGTCAAAGGGTTGAGGGATGAAAGGATGAAGATTAAGGAATGAGGAGGTGAAGGGTGAGGGATGAAGAGATTCGGGTCAAAGGGTTGAGGGATGAAAGGATGAAGATGGAGGAATGAGGAGGTGAAGGGTGAGGGATGAAGAGAGTCGGGTCAAAGGGTTGAGGGATGAAAGGATGAAGATGGAGGAATGAGGAGGTGAGGGATTAATGGATGAGGGTCAAGGGTTGAGGGATGAAGGGATGAGGGTCGATGAAGGGTGCGGGATGCAAGGATGAACATGGAGGAATGAGGAGGTGAAGGGAGAGGGATGGAGGGATGAGAGTCAAAGGGTTAAGGTATGAAGGGATGCGGGTCAAAGAGTTGAGGGATGAAGAGATTCGGGTCGAAGGGTTGAGGGATGAAAGGATGAAGATGGAGGAATGAGGAGGTGAAGGGTGAGGGATGAATGGATGAGGGTCAGGGGTTGAAGGGATGAGGTTCGAAGGATTGGGGGATGAAGTTATGCGGGTTGAAGGGTACGGGATGAAAGGATGAAGTTTGAGGAATGAGGAGGTGAAGGGTGAGGGATGAATGGTTTAGGGTTGAAGGTTTGAATGATGAAAGGATGCAGGTTGAAGGGTGCGGGAGGCAAGGATGAAGTTGGAGGAATGGGGGAGGTGAAGGGTGAGGGATGAATGGATGAGAGTCGAAGGGTTAAGGGATGAAGGGATGCGGGTTGAAGGGTTGAGGGATGAAAGGATGAAGATGGAGGAATGAGGAGATGAAGGGTGAGGGATTAATGGATGAGGGTCAAGGGTTGAGGGATGAAGGGATGAGGGTCGAAGGGTGCGGGATGAAAGGATGAAGATGGAGGAGGTGAAGGGTGAGGGATGAATGGATGAGGGATGAAGGGATGCAGGTCGAAGGGTGCGGGATGAAAGGATGAAGATAGAGGAATGAGGAGATGAAGGGTGAGGGATGAATGGATGAGAGTCGAAGGGTTAAGGGATGAAGGGTGCAGGTCAAAGGGTTGAGGGATGAAGAGATTCGGGTCGAAGGGTTGAGGGATGAAAGGATGGAGGTGGAGGAATGAGGTGAAGGGTGAGGGATGAATGGTTGAGTTTCAAGGGTTGCAGGGTTGGGGGATGAAGGGATGAGGGTAGCAGGGTTGAGGGATGGAGGGATGAAGAGAGAAATGCGTCAAAGAGAAAGAGAATGCATCAGGTGTGCTTAAATACTTTTGGGCAGAAATGGGATGTGTTCGAGGCGTGGTCTTTGTTCCAGAACCAGGTTTATAAAACTTCATTTATTTATTAGCATAAAACTATTCACAACCAGCACTGGAATATTATAACATAAGTGAGTGAATGATTGTCACTGTTTTGACCCTGCTAAAAGAATTTCTCAACAAAATGTCTATGTCTTTAGTGAATAAACGTTGTTGAACCTTCTTGCTGGGAAAAAAACAACAATAGTGATATTAAACAGCAGAGTGCTTCCAACTTTTTGGCAGGAGTTTGAAAAAGGCCCTCTCCTGTTCAAACGTGTGCACAAAGCGAGGTGCGTTAAAAATGGCTCTTTTTAACCCCTTTTGGGAGGATTTGGAGTGCTGACTGTGAGCCAGGCTTTACTGCCAAACCTCTCTGATCTGTTGTGGCTGAATGGGAACAAATCCCTGCAGCCAGTGTTTATATTCTTGTGGACAGCCTTCCCAGGAGATTTTTAGACAGCGTATTACTGCCCATAGTTTTACTGCTCTGAGTCAGTTTTGCAAGGATGTGTACAAAGTCAGCCCTGGACTCGTAAAAAGTGCATTTCAGATGGATTATTATAGAACAAAGAAGGTTCTTCTAATGCATCAAACTGGTTTTTTGACTGCAGGTGAACCAGACAAAGAGCTGAACCCCAAAAAGAAGGCATGGGAGCAGATTCAGCCAGACCTACGCACGGACAGCCAGTGTGTTGCAACCTACAAGGGGGCTGCCTTTGAAGTCGACGGGAAGGGAGTGTGCAAAGCCCAAACGATGAGTGACAGTGAAATCAAATAAACTAACAGAGCTGCTTGAAATAGCTCAGTGCAATTCCCTGCTGCCGGACAGGATCCCAAGTGTTGTGGAGAGCTTTCCCAGAAGAGGGGAGGCCGCTGTAGCAGCATATCAATGCCCTCAGTTTTGGAACGACATGTCCAACAATCACATGGGTGTTATGTTTGAGTATTCACATACTTTTGTCCTGTGAGGAAGGACAGTGATAGTGAAGAGTGTGTCGCCCTCTGTTGGACAGACATTGAACATTACTGTTATGTTTTTATTATGAAAATCTGAAGTTTGGTTTTCGGCCACTGGAGGGCACTACAGTACCCATGATAATGTACAGTATGTGTGTGGTGAGTTTGTGAGAACATAGAGCACACAGTCATACCCAGCATGGCGAAAAGAAAACAGAAATTCTTGCAAAGAATCCCTTTTAGTCGGGGAATATCTGATAAAATGTAAAAGCTTTCCCCTGACGCCACAGAGGTCATTTCCACTGAACTGTGGATGAAACTCAACGGGGCAGAAGTCCCTTTGAAAGGGAGTTAAACAGTTACACTTTCTTTTGATAGTATGGAAATTAGTTGGAAATGAGCAGGGAAATTACTTTAGTTTTATCTAAATACGCTTTGCAGGAACTCCATAAGGGCAGTTCTTTGAGCTCCATCATTTTAAGTCTGATGTTGGCACATGATAGAAAAAGTTCAGTGTGTTATATTTCAGCACAAATAAGCTGTGGGAAATGGAGGCATTTATTTAAGGCTGGGCGACATGGAGAAAATCTAATATTACAATATTTTGACTAAATACTTTGATAAAGGTATCGTGACAATATTGTAGGGTTGACTATAGGTGCTTTTACAAAATATTTACACAGTGAGACTTTAGATGAATCACCAGTAATGTGAATATAATGACTGAGTGGGTAAAGGCCAGAGGTGTGGAGCCGAGTCACATGACTTGATTCAAAAATTTGGTGACTTTAGACTTGACAAAATAAAAAAATACTTGCAACTCAACTTGGACTTTAACACCAGTGACTTGGACTTGAGCTTCTCACTTGAAAATACACGATACCTTCCCCCAAGCTAAAAGATTAAAAAGTATGCTATTTAAAAAGTGCGCCACTAATCAACTTATTTCCTGAAGCAGCTAATATTGAGGCTACTCATTCCCAGTATGTCGACTCTTAATTCTCCAGATCTGCTTTGAACCAATGTGACATCATCGAATCAAGTCGCAGGAGAGAACATGAAGAACTAATGGGACAGTTGGAAAAAATTAGACCAGGTATAAGTTCATTTATTTATTTCATTTATGTATGTATTTCATTTATCTATGCGGTATGCAAAACGTGCAGGTTGAAAATGATGGATGGAGATGCAACAACCGCAAAGTAAAAAAACAAGTCAGTCTGCACACCACATAGCTCCTGTTCAGAAGGATTTTAATGCAGTGACATTTCGAGCCACACAGCTTTTCCTCAGACTTCTGTCTAGTGTGCGGACATATATGTTTTTTACTTTGCCAGACATTTCTTTAGTCCAGGACCGATTCCATTGGACGTTGTGTGCGTGTCTTTTGTATGGTTTTTGGAGATGCAACAACTTCCAAGAAACTTGTTTTAACAAATAAGAACAAGGTTTAAAAAGCAGTCATGATTTTTGAAAATCTGTTATTACTCTTGTTAAAATGGCATTACATTTGGTGAGAAGCACATTATGACGTGTTCAGGACTCGAAACTTAATGTTTAGCGCTTGGAACTTGACTTGGAACTTGTCAGTCTTGACTGGGGACTTGAGTACAAAAACTTGAGACTTACTTGTGAAAACAATGACTACCAAAAGCAAACAATAGAACAGCTAGAACAGTCTGGTAAGTTCTTTTTAAAACCAGGAAAAGAGAACACTTACAATGCCATGATATCCAAAATCAAAGATAATATCTAGTCTCATATTCTGATATTGATATAATTATCAATATACTGCCAAGCCTTAGATGTATCTGACCTAGAGCACATTATAGTTGACATCCACATCCCTTTTCAATATGTAGTTACACAATAATCCTACTAAACTGATGTGAATCAATGATTTGGATGTGGACACAGATGTTTGTTATTAACTGTATCCTCAGCCATAATGTTTTGTATCTATCCTGTTATAGTGTACATTGTTACTCAGCTCTTTAGATATTGTAACAGCTCAGTTAAACCTTAGTTTTTATACGTCCTATTTCACGTTTGTGTCTATTGATATTAAGCCCATTTATAATGTAAAGGGCACAAAAATAAACCAATGTGTTTTGGTTTTTAAAACAAACTGTTTTTGTTTTTTTTTTCCCCTACAACTCAAAGCAAGTCCATGAAAAGACCAACACGCAAACTTCTCATTCCCTCATTGTAAAGGGAGAAGTGAAATAATGCATGTAAAGAAGGGGGATGTGATTCAGGAACTAAAAAGTGGAACAGATTGTCCGAGACACGATGTTGTTGGTAATTGTTTGCCAGAGAATGAGGACGCTGAGAGGGAATGTTATCAACCTTGTTATGTACCATACCATACCAACTTTATTTATGAAGCACTTTAAAAACCCAATGGACCAAAGTGCTGTCATTTTCATTTCACAGACTGGAGAAGGACATCTTCTTTTCCCAGAAGGAAACCTATAAAAAGGAGGATGTATTAGTTCTACTATGGAAATTCTTAATGGTATTAATCCTACTGACTATGTATTCTCTTAAACACTACAGCTTTTCTAAAGCTGTTTTTGAAAGTAAGTAAACCAGAAAGGCTAAACGGTGTTTTTCATCTCACACTCCAGTGTGTGTTGACTAATAGTACAGGCTTACATTTATAAAACCACTTATTAAAGGTCATGAAGTGTTAATATTAATGTCACATCACCCCCCACCCACCCACCGACACTATCTGCTCATGTAGAAACCAACAGAGGAAACCACACTGGAGTTAGTGGAGGTACTGTAAAGGTTCACCATTCACTTCTGTCTCCCTATCTGCAGTAACAAACTCATGTGGTAGAGTCAGCCCCTGCAACTCTGCTGCACTCTGTTGACTCTGTGTGGTTTACCAAGGGGGGGAAAGTTTGTAAACAACAACCCGAGGCCACGTTTCGGTTGAGCTGAGTCAACCTGTGAATAAAACGCTGCTCCCCCTCCTCCTGCATCCTGTTTTTTATGAAAGGCTACAAAGTGCAGGAAACCCAGCAAAACTCGCTTCATGGCTTGGTCGTACTCTCACAGTGTTTGTGTGGTATTTATGTGTCATAGGTTGCTTCTAATTTCTCACGTTATCACTTTTCTAATGTATGATAAATATATATATAGGCCTACTACTTAGGCCTACGAATTTTGCCTCATAGAATTATAGACCGGTAGTGTTGTTTGGAGTGGACAAAGTGCCCCAGGGTCCTTAAAGGCCACAGGAAGTCTCTGTGGAAATGACTTTGTAGTAATTTGATGAATTGAATTAGTTTGGTAATGTGCACAAATAAAGTACAAATTCAAACTGAAATAATAAGAGTCCTAAAATGGCTCCAGCATTTTTATTAACTCTTTTGGCCCTATGTTATGGTTCTTTGGAAAGTTTAGGATCACCACTAGAATTTCAGACAAAGAACTGTGCTGCAGTGGTAGCTGATGAGATGGGTGTACTACAAGGTAGACAGGCAGGTTATTATGTATGGATTACTGAACAGTCGTATCGGAAACAGACCCAGGGGCCCAAAGAGTCAGGGGGCCCTCAGGCCTTCACCTGCAAAATCAGCATGTACCGACCAAGGCTAATCAAAAGAGGCTGGGACACGCTCTTTGACTCCATGGGAGCTACAGGGTATGACACTTCCGCAATGTAACTGGAGCTGTGATTTGGGATAGTTACAGCAGACGATGACAGGAATAAAGGGATGGTGTCTACTCAGGTGCTCTTTTGGGTGTGCTATTTTCAGCTCCTTTAGATGCATTCGGCCTGACAGAACATTTTGGATACACTCCAGTGGATGGCGGCCGATATACAGTAGAACATATTCATATAGAAAGCAGGATGTTTTTCATAATTCATTCATTAATTCATTCATTTTCCATAACCGCTTATCCTGTTAAGGGTTGGGGGGAGATGGAGCCTATCCCAGCTGACACTTGGCGAGAGGCGGGGTACACCCTGGACAGGTCGCCTGCCCATGGTATTGTCGCAGTGGTTATATCTGTATAAATATATTTCAGATTGCAGACGCCACAGTGAAATGAATCAATCACCCCCATGTTCTATGATAGTGCACCAGCTATTGAGCCTTTTGGCAAGTGCAGACCAGATTTTACAGTATGTGTTGTACCACAGTGATGTAAAGCAATACGGTGCTGTGACTTCTCCTCTTTTTAAACTCCTTGTTACCGACCTGGAAGAGACTCAAAAAGACCACAAAAACTATGCAAATGAGTGACAAAGAGAAACAATATGACTAAAAACATAGGAGGACACAAATGACCTCAAACAGACACAAACAACTACAAAGAGTCACAAAACTACCATGAGTAGACATAAAACATACAAAGCACAAAGTGTCTTGCTTCTGTGTAGAAGTGGTGGGGCCTTTTGCATATCTGTGCCCAGGGGCCCATTTCCCCATAATGCACCCATGTAGGTAACTGAGGAGAAAGTGGGTATATGTACTCTCTTATATATTCCAGTGGCTGTTTGGCTGACAGGTGGGCATACTGAGAACAGTCAGAAAAAAGCAGTGGGTACACCCTGTATAGCTGCGTATACCCTACACCACACCACTCCACTAACTCCACCAACAAAGTGATATAAAGCATGTTTAGGGCAGGTTACTAATGCAGCATAGAAATTATTTGTTTCTGTGACTCTCACTTTGGGTAAATGCGTTGGGAAATGTGTGTATTAGGGGGGTTTGGGGCTGGCAGGTTAGCAGGTTAGCCAGGTAAATCTGGCCCTGGGGGTTATTCAGATGATTTACTGGAAACAGAACAGAGGAAATGTTTGTGATTCACATCTCACGAGTTTCCAACAGCCATGTTTACAGATTTACAGTAGCCCACAGCTCATGAGGTTAGTGACATTGTCACTGGAAACAGTGGGTAGACCTTTGATTACTGCTCATCAATAGGTAAACAAACCTGTCATGTCTGTAAACAAAAATAAATTGATTATATTGTGAGAGGTCGCAGCCTAACCGGACACAAAAGTCAAGATTAGTGTTAGAATAAAAATGTGTATTACTTGAGTTTATTACTGTTTTAACCACAGACTGTAAAGATGAAAAGTTGTGTAGTAGTTTTTAAACAGTGTATTTTTTTTTCTAAAGTCATTAATACATTCATTATTTCATCACGTGCCCCCTCCTTCTGCACGCTGACGTCGCGTCATGGCCAGTCCGTGACGCGCTGCTTTATTTTGCGTGCGGCAGCGGCTGCGCTACAGCGGAGAAAGAGGAGGAGGAGGAGAAGACTGCTTCGCTACTGTCGGGTTTACAGTTCAAGTATCGTCTTTCTGCTTCAGTACACGGACTGGCATTGCAGCTGGGAGAGCCTAGAGACTGTTTACTGTTTATTTAGATCTGTTGCAACGAGGTTTTCTCCGCTAAACGACGCAAACATCGGCGCTGACGGGATCGCACCTGCCTCGGAGTATGGACAACAAAGACTGATCCAACACTGCGCTGCTGTGCGGCAGCAAACCGAGCCAGGCTGCCTGCGAAACCTCCAAGAAATTCATTTATTTACGAGCCTGTGCTGCACACCGGTGCTGCAAGAGGAGGGTTTGCGTGCAGGAAATTTGGTGTTGGACTTCTACATTGCAGGCCGATCCGATCCGATCCGTGCCTTGCTGGGTTTAATTATAGCAACACTTTGCATGCGCGTCTTAGTTTCGCTCGGACATTGAGTAGTAGAGATACATTTGAAGGGTCGAGGAGGAGAGCAGGCCTACATCTGTGTTTAATAATTTAATAATCGCTGCTGGACACAGTCACACGGAGCAGCAGGCAGTCCTCTTTGTTCAATGTTCCCTTAAAAACCAGGAGAATTATGTGGGTCAGTCCCGAAGATGTGTTACTGGCGGGCGCGTTATGGATCACCGAGAGAGCAAATCCATATTTCATCCTTCAGAAACGGAAGGGCCACGGAGATGGAGGCGGAGGTCTGGCCGGTGAGTCCTATTATTATCATGGATCAATAGCAAAAGAAAATCTATTGTCTAAATGTAGAGGCTATAGATGGTGACAGCTGATTGAGTGACAGTACAGGATGTCAGGTGGAGTCTCTGAGTTAAGGAAACACATGGACAGCATAATGTTAGGAGGGTCACATGATCAGCTGTCACAGGTGGCCTTTCACCTGCATGTCAACAGTTAAGTGCTGGTATTTCCTCCACTAATTGATTTAATCACACTCTTGTCAGCCTGCTTTAATGAAGGATAAACCTTTGACCAAGACATCAAGGGACAAAGTCCAGCCCATCTGCTATCCTATCACACAATTGCTCCAGAAGTTAGGTCACATTACAGTTTACTATCCTGTAAAAAAGACGGCTGTTCCTGTCTGCAAGAGAAATTAGATTTCAACCATTACATCAATGCAAACAATAGTAGTTCTAGTAGCCGTCCTTGAGCAGCTGCTAATGGCTGTGGAGTCTCAGCAACAACACTGCATCTACTGTATTTGAGACATGGTGTGTTTGCTTGTTCATGCTGAATCATTCCCCTTCTTCCTTCTCTCACTCCTCCTCCTCTTCGCTTGCTTATTCTACCCAAAATGGGTCAAGCAGCAGCAGGAGCATGAGGAAGAGTAGGGGGAGGAGGAGGAGGAGGGACAGGTTGAGGTTCACATTTTAACAGACTGCTGTCCTGTTTTCACTCTGAATGTTAAAATGTGGTTCATTCCTTGACCTGGATTCAGCTGGCTGGAGTTTAAAACGAAGTGTGGCACTTCCTCAAATTTAAAAGATGAGAGGTTGTTTAACATCGTCAAGATAGTTATACTGATACATATAGCATGTAGCTGCTGGGCACCTGTATCAGTTCAAATCAGTGGTTCCCAACTGGTGGTTCGCGGTCCAAAAATGGGTCACAGGTTCATTCTGAATGGACCACAAGTGACTTGCAAACGTGCCAAGTTCCTAAAAAACACATTTTATCTTTAAGTACAGCAATTTTTTGGCACTGAGCTTTTATTTTGTAATCCCATTTCCTGCTGTAGAGTAAGTGACTTACGGCAGCTTCTTGACAGAGACAACACAGTAGCCCGACGACATGGCCAAACGCAAGTATGACGCTGAATATATTAAACTGTGTGGACCTTGAACTAATGACTAGGGAGAAATCTGGACCCCATGGCCGGACCATTTGGGAACCACTGGTTTGAATAATGAAGGTCTTAATGCTGTATTTGACATGTGGTCTGCAAGATCATGTCATTTGCTTCATTCCAAAGCAAATTCACAATAATTAAACTATCACAAACCAACTTCCAAACAGGGAAGCATTTTGGAGCCCCTGGTGGTCCTGCTGAAGTCACACCCCTCCCCCTCCTTGCCCAGTTGGTAATCTGGTTTTCGGAACAGCCATTCATGTGTTTATAGCAATATAAATCAGGGTTATTTAAAGGCATTTTTGACTCAAAACTGAAGTGAAAAAAATGCCTCTGTGATTAATCAGTTTTGATCAGCTCAGTTTCTGTTCCCTGCTGAGAATTTCTCACTTGGTGTCAGTCAGTGTCGCAGCTCATTGAGCTCTAACACCAGTAACTATAAGAGTCAAATCTCTGCCACTGAGGACCAGTCTGACTCAGCAGTGGGTGATATGGAGATAAAAAATCTTTTATCATACCGGTCTCCTAATTTTGTGTAGGATTGATCTATCTCTGCTTGTGACCCTACAATAAGAAGTACTGATAAGAGTAAAGAGAAGTTAAATTAAGGAGCAAATACTGGAGAAAAAATCGCAAAACAGATATATTTTTGTGCATTAGAATTTAATTGTTTTATTATTTCTCACTCTGGTATTTATCTTGCGACAGCTTAAATTGACTTAGCGACTCTGTGTGAAAGACCTGACCCTGCGGATGGAAACCACAGAACCTTTTATGAATATGATAACCAGACAGGAATATTGGTTTATAGTTAATTCAGTTGATTAAATACATTACAAATTAAAGTCCGTCATCATATTGAAGCAAAAGTCTCGTATGACTACACACCAATGGACGCCAAATACAGCTAAATATTAAAGGGATATAACAATGCTCATCTCACAGTATATATTGTCATAGTCACCAACCCTAGTCTGACTAATAAAGGCTTAAAGGAGCTGTGATATTCAGTCCATATCTATGATTCAGAGTCAGAGCCAGGATTGTTTGCACACAGCTCTCAACATGGAGGTGGCTGAGCTGGCAGCTAATGGTGCTAACAGCACAAACAGTGCTAACGGAGCTAATGGTGTTAATTTGTGGGGGAGCCGGAGGGTGGGCGACTCCTCGACAACACTGTTTGGTTCCGCCTCTGTGGATCAGGACGGTGTTATCAGGGGTCAACACTGTGTGTGCGCTGTGCAAAGCAGTGGGGATGAGCTAGCCAATGAGATACGTGCACTAACATGCACGCACAGCTGGTCAGGCTACCAAGACAGCAAACAGAGAAGCTCAGATTACAACACACACAAAGGTAGTGGGACATCATTCTCTGCTCAAGACAGTATTACCCCACTACATGGCTGTACAGGGCGGCTGTGGCTCAGAAGGTAGACACATGTCGAAGCATCCATGAGCAAGAAGCTGAACCCGATGACTGTTCCATCGGTGTGTGAGTATGTAAACTGAATAGCAGGTGGCACCTTGTATAGTATGGTAGCCTCCACCACCATGAATGTGTGTGGCTGGGTGAATGTGGATCGTAGTGTAAAAAGGGCTTTGAATAGTCAGAAGACTAGAAAAGAGTTATAGAAGTGCAGGTCCATTTACTATACCTGCACATAGCAAAAAGTGGTCTGCTGCTATATTAATGCTCTGAATGTGTCAGGTATCAGACTTGACATACGGCCACTTTTAATGCACAGGTTACACATTTAGAATATGATATTTGTGACATGACCCTCTTTGATATTATTAATACAGAATGAGACCCACAGCATCTTTTTCTCAGTCCCTGGTGAGTTCTTGCTTTGGCAACACAAAGCGTGCTAAGTGGTGCTGGGGGATGATGTCATTGTTATGTAAATGCTGAGCTTGCTGACTTGTACTGTGTGCCAGTTGGCACTCGGTGCCCAGCGACACTGGCACTGCCCACAAGCTCATCTTCCAGGGAGAGGGGCAACCAATCAGCTGCACAAGGATGCAGCATTTCACAGAGCCAGGCACAAATCTGCATGTTCATCTTAACCAGGCTCAAGCTCAGATGTCAGAGAGGCAGAGGGCTGCTTAGCTTTGGTGAAAAAAGGCAAATGTGTATTTGCTGTGCTCGACCAGACCGCTACTCTCTGATTTTCAGACATAATTGATTTATCACTATGAAACATCAGCACAGTGGCTGCATGAACAGAGATGGACAGCTGCAGTTTGTGCACACTGTAGTGTCCCCCGCGCGAGGGTCCACAAGCCAAAAATGATGTCATCACACATTTTGTGTAAAGCAGCAGTTCCCAACTGGTGGGTCGCGGTTGAAAAGTGGGTCGTGGGTCAGTTCTGAAGAGCAGTGAGGAGACAGCAAACTAGCTTGATGACATGTCCAGCCACAAGTGTGATGCTGAATATATTAAACTGTGTGGACCTCGAACTAATGACTAAGGAGAAATCTGGACTCCGTTGGGAACCACTGGTGTGAAGTGTGAAGACTCTGCAAGTTGTCCGGGTGCTTGCTCATGTACCTCTGAGTTTTTGGAACAAGGTGCCAGCTGCATGCACGGGGCTTTGCAGACATGACTGCCACAAAAGCAAATCACTTGAATTAAGAAGTAAAATAATAATTAATTTAATATGTCGCAGGATTTTAGGAAGATGGTAAATGTGTTTTTTAAATGCTTTCAAAACTGATCTTAAAAACCTATATTTGAGTAAATATTTTGCCAGATAAATCAAATTGTTTACAAGTCATTACAGTTTTTCTCAATTGTTTACACGCAATTTTGAAAACAGGGCTACTTTTTTCAAAATATTCACACAATTATCCAAACACCACACTCAATTTGCATAACTCCTAGATTGTTTGCAAAATGACACACTTCAGTCAAAACATATACACTTCAGTCAAAACATATACACTTCAGTCAAAACATATACACACATTTATAAAAATGCTGTTTTGTTTTCATCTCACTAACACAGTCTCCAAATGATCAGACACTGTTGCAGTCAGTTACACACTACAGTGATCAATACAAAATACATTTGTAAAAACCCCTATTTTAGGAAATAGCTGGTCTAGTGCTAGACTTTTTTGCCAGACATTTTTATGTAAGGGATAATTTAGATGACAAAAAGATATTGTCAAACCCACAACATTCTTCATGATTACTTTGAGGTATACAGAGAAAGTACACAAATACAACAAACAAACACAACACTGATTGCAGACTGCTGCAGACTGAAAATATTTATTTCTTACCATACTCAGTTACAGTAACAGATCAACAATGAAATCAGAACAAAATAGTAGTTTTTCTTACTACTGTAAATTGTAGACAAATAAAAATTCCTCTATTGGGTTTAGGAATGGGGAGTATGGTGGAAGGTATAAGACTGCAAATTCAGGGTGCTCATGGAACCAATTGTGGACCAGAGCAGATCAATGGAAAGATACATTGTCCCAAACGACAATGTACTGCATGTGGTCCGCTTGGTTTACAGTAAGCACCTGTGTGCTTCCACACCAGGTGGATGTGATTATCCAATTCGTTCATTAGTGTGGTCGTTGGCAAGCTGGGGCTTTGTAATGAGAAGGAAGTAACCTCACAATCCTTATCTGTGTCTAAGGTGTGATAATGCGTGTAGAGTTTTGCAAATCACTGTGTGTAATGTTATGCAAAAAGTGTGAAGCTGAGTCTGTGCTTATTGTTGTGCAACTATGGACAGGTGTTTTGCTTCTTGAGTGTAAAGAGCTGTTAATTGTGTGAAAATTTTCATTTTAGTGCGTAAAGAACTGTAAAAAACTGTATT